ATGATTGAATATTCTTGAGCAGAACCCAGGAGTGGAATTTCTGGATCATATGGTAACTCTGTATTTAATTTATAAGCGCTACAAAACTTTTCCACAGCAGTTGCATTATTTTACATTTGTACCAACAATGCCTGAGGGTTCACTACATTCTTGCCAATACTCATTATTGTCTGTCTTTGATTATAACCATCCTAGTGTGAGTAAGGTGGGATCTTGTTGTGGTTTTGATTTGCAATTCCCTAATGATTAATGATGGTGAGCATCTTTTTTTATGTACTCATTGGATATGTATATATCTTCCTTGGAGAAATGTCTATTCAGATCCTTTGCCCATTTTTCAACTTGGTATTTGCCTTTTTATTGTTAAGTTCTCTAAAGATCTTGGAAATTATCTTCAAGCTGACATACTGTAAAACATTATTCCTATTAAAATAAAGTATTTGTCTAGATCATAATTCAATTTAGTTGTACACAATTCACATTTTTCATAACCAACTAGTACAGCTGTATAAGTTTATAAAAAAAATCCCAAAATAGAATTTTTAAAAATGTGCTTTTATATATACCTATCATTGATAAATCAGAGAAAATATCTGTTTTTTATTTTATCAACATCAGTCAACTAGTCTTAGTTGCCAAATGTTTACTTTATATATGTGAACTTGGATTCTGAAAATGTTTCTGAGGTAGTTTCTGTAAGAGTACTTATTTTGAAATTGCGGCATGTTAAAAGTATTGTTCAAGTTCCCTATTATCTTGGAATTTTAGGAACATTCAAAGTACACTTATTTATCACTAGATAAATCCAACTGGATTTATGTAGTAGGTCCAACTGGAACAGAACTCTTTTAGTTTTTATTTACTCTCTCTCTCTCTCTCTCTCTCTCCCTGTCTCTGCCCTTCAGCACAAGGGGAGTATTCTTCTCCCTCAACCTTTATGGGTCTCCAATATGTCTGAAGATAAAACATTACTACCTGTCTGACTTCTCTCATTCCTCATAAGTTTTTCTTTCTTAAGACAGGAGCCATCACCCATCCTTCTGATCCTTGCTATATCTAAAATTTCCCCTTTACTTACATTTTTGTAAAAGTTTTATTTACATCTCAGTCTTTTCTGTCATCTCATTGCTTTTGTCTTTTCATCATTTCTTGCTACTTTAAGCAAATGGATAGGAGAGTAGTCCTTCTTCAATCATTTGCTTTAATATTTCTTTTGACTTTATTCTAATTAAACTTTCTTAATCTCTGTCTCATGCTCCCTATATCTCAAATTTCTCTTAATTTTCATTAAAATGCTTAATGTCACAAATAGTACAGCACAAACATCCTTTCACTGTCATTTCAAATAGCAATCTTTATTTTTATCTACTATGTTTTTCCTACTTTATTTCTTCACTGGAACCTTGGAGATATGTATCGGGAAGGAAGGGAAAGCTGGAGAGAGAATGAGAGGGAGGAAGAGAAAGAAGAAAATGCAGAGAGACAGAAGATGGGGAAGTCTATTCTGCTGCCTAGAATCAGCAGCACAATTCCTCATTCCTACTTTCCTACAACAACATACTTTGGTTTTGCTCTATATATTCTATGACACATCTTTGTCACATAATGACAAGGGCCTAAAATACAATAGGCTTGTCATAACACTTTCTCCCCTGATTGCTCTTTCACCTGAGTGAGCAAAACTTTTTTATGAGGGACCTGGCCAAGGACAAGGGTGCGGTCTGGATTCTAGATAAGGGCTTCCCAAACAGCTGAAAGGTCCTATGAGCATTTGGCTGAAAGGCAACCCAACGACTCTGTTAGTGGATGTCCACAGTGGGCCCAGCTCTCCCCCAGGCATGGTGGAATACGAAGATGCACACAATAGAGTGGCTGCCCTCAAGTAGTCTAAAATAAATGGTAATATGGGATTAAGTGTCAATACATGCTAGAACATAAGGGCGTACATGAATGAATGCTGTCTTTTCCAGAAGGTGAGCGTTGTGGACAGAATGGGCTAGAAGACTTTCCTGGAGGAAACTGATGTGAGCTGGGTCCTGAGGGGATGGAAGGATTTGGCTGAATAGAGGATAGGAAAGCTGGATAGAGATCGATAGCCACACTTGTTTATCTTCTCCAGATATCTTGACCCAATTAAATCCACATGGCTCTCACTCATATACTGAAGAAATAGTTTTGCAAAATCTTCCCCAACACCATAGAATTTCAGATCTAGAAGGGCATTATCTAATCAAGTCAAAATTGACCCAAATCAAGGATGCTATTTTCCTTTCCTTACCATCATTTCCTTTTTTTTTTCTCTGCAGGGTAATATTTCTTTTAGTAACATTCAATCTTTCACTAAAATATGACAAAGGCATAGCCAATAAATAGAAATTCTCATTTTTCCATCTCCATATCTCTAACTGGTTTAATAATTCACTCCCTCTCAGTGCCTTAAAAATGAGACTTTTATCTTTGAATTCATCTGTAAAACTGTCCTCTTCGCCTCCCACTTACTAAATGGACTCCATTTATCACTCATTTTATGGGAGCTTATCTACTCGGAGAGAAGTTTGATCAGATAACCTGGTCCTTAGAAAAGCAGAAGATTGCAGGGAATTGCTCCTATTGTTTGAGAACCTCCCTTTGATCTGAAGTTTTAGGATGGTTATAGAATGTCGACAGGGTCTCTTGCACATTTGATGGTACAGGAAATTATTACCTTGGTCTCAGCATCTAGAAAGCTTTCACTGAACATGCTCACTGGATCCAAGCCTTCAGAATGATTTGAGGATGAGTCTGATCCCCAGTCAGAGACTGAACATTCCTAGTTTAATGTTGTGATATAATATGACAGATTTATACATTGTTCTAACATAATGAAATGCAAAGAGATGAAGTGTTTTATTTACACAGTAACCTCTTATTTCAACAGTTCACTGGCTGTTATATAGGCTTTCTTGGCCTCATCTAAAAGGCCTCAGGAAGCTTCGCTGTGAGCCTTGCAGAGCAGCCTCACCAGTTTACAGAGACCAAAGTGCTGGGCCGTGAAGTCAAGAAGAAGAAAACAACACCATAAACCAACAAGAAACAGAAGCAGGAGACCTGGGAACTTCCACTGCTCAAAGGCACCTGCAGAGCTCTCTGCCACCCAGATGTTCTTTCCTCTATCTGGATACAGAAGCCACAGAGTACACATTTGTTGAATGAATCCCTTCTCAGGTTCATCATTCACTCAACAAACATCATCTCTCATCCTTCACTGAACATAGCGGTCCCTCTAGGAGATAGAAAGAAGTGCATACAAAGGTAAAAGGCTTCAGTTCTGCATTCAAGGAGAAGGCAGACTTGTGAGGAAACCAGACCAACACTTAAACTCCATGTGCTGTGCGTGCATAGCAAGTATTAGTGAGAGGAACTCAGAAAGAGATTAGTTAAACTAATCCAGGGGTAGATGAAGACAACTTTAGAGAATCATTTCAAATGACAATCATTTCAGCTCTCTTAAGGACCAGCCTCCTATGAGTTTGATTCAACTCCCCAGATAGAGAACATGGGGAGAGATTTGATGCTCCTCTTCTAATGGATGCTCTGCCTGTAATATTGGAGGGTATAGGAGTTCTTGGCCACAACTCTTCATGAAATTTGGAAAGCACGTGAGTGTGATAGAGATGCTGGCTCACCCTCTCTTCCATAATATGACCAGGATTTGACGTCGGATAACAGGAGGCAGCCTAGATAACACTGTTCTTATTTACTAGAGCAAAGCTGATGCCCCCGAATCGGTGTTCTGGTATATTTGGGTGGAAGCAAATGGATGAAAAAATCTTCATTACCAACATTAGAAAAACGAAAAGGAAATAGTTTGCTTCAAGGTCCCCTGCACCTATAGTTTTGAGAAAGAGAAGAAAAATTAGACCTCATTATAAAGTAAAGCATTGCTACTCTAGTTCTGGCCGAAGGACCAGCAGCATGAGCAGCACCTGAGAACTTGTTAGAAATGCAGAATCTCAGGCCCCAGCCCCAACCTACTGTATCAGAAGCCACAGTATAACAAGCTCCAGGTGATTTGCATGCATGTTAAAGGTTAAGAAGCCCACTCAAGACCAGCATGGCGGCTGAACATTGGAACACCTGAGGAGCTTTTTAAATTAATGATCCCACTCTCAGGAATTCTGATTTAAATAGTCTGGCTCCCTAAGTGATTCCAAATGTGCAGAGAAGGTGGGCAAGCACTTGGAGGCCTCCTGTTCCCCCAGAGAGCCTCAGAAATAGCCGCAGGTCTGGGTGCTGATGCTGTGGAATGACTACCGGGAATCACAGGAAAGCAGCTCCCCCTTCGCGGCACAGATAAGCGTGGGGACCAAAGCTGGCTGTTCCTGTCCAGGTACCCCCACCTTACTCCTGCATCAATGCAGGAGTGGAATTCACGCAGAAATTTGTTGTCACAGATCAAAACCTTAAGCCTGGAATGTCCTATGCCTGCATGTTTAGCTCATCCTCAAATTGTTTACAATTAGGATAGGGTCTCTGCTGTCAAAGGGAATAGAAGGAGAAAGGTTGGCCAAAAAAATTAGGAGCCTAAAGTTGGAAAACAAAAATCAAAAACAACAACAAAAAATAAAAAACCAGAGAGGATTTACCCAGAGAGAGCAGCACCCAGCAACCCCCTGCAGTGAGTCAGCTCAGGGGAGGCCCAGCCCCTTCCAGGAGAGCCTGGGTAAGGATCCTGCTCAGCGGCTGGGCTGGGCTGGGCTGGGCTGTGTATGCTGCTGCTTCTAGTCCCAAGACCAAGTCTTAAGAGCAACTTTCCTTCCTCAGCTGCTTAAACTTTTTTTTTTTTTTTTTTTTTTTTTATCCTGTGGCTGGAAAGAAGTGTCACATTTTGTTCACTCCCAACCCTTCTTTCCCACCCCCTCCCAGAGACCTTGAGCATATGGAGGGGGTGCTGTGAGCCACCTCCAGCCTCGGGTGACTGGCTGTTGGAACTAACTTTCAGCTCCTTTCACTGTAACACTATGAAGTTCCTCGGGAAACCCAGGAGCCAGGCAGCTGCTTCTCTGCCTCTTTGCTTGCTCTTTTTGAAGATTCTGCAACCAGGACACAGCCACCTTTACAGCAACCGCTACGCTGGGTAAGTGCAGCAACTTTTATGCCCTGCACAACTTTTAGTTGGGTGAGGGGGTTGTTTGCGTATAGTGGTCTGTGTGAATCTGTGCACGCTCCTGGTCACCTAATATAAAGTATACGTGTGCTCCCAGCTTGCTGGTGGAGCTCACTGAGAGAATGCAGTGAGTGCAAGTCTAGCTTTCCATACTTTTGATAGTGTGCCAACTTCCCCTTCTGACCCGTGTTGAATGGGATTCTCTTTGCAGTAGCTATGGCCAATATTTGCAGTATTTGCCTTGGTGGATGCTGGGCGGGAAGGATGCTGCTGTACCACATGAATTATGACCGGGAACTAAAGCTTCTCCTTTAGCATTGTATGCAGGAGCAGTGGATTACAATTCACCAGTGATTAATTTAAGAGCTATGTAAAGTTTTTTTTATAGTGCTTGTTAGCCCACAGCATGGTTATTAGAAAGATTTCCAAATAGGAATGATGCAAACGAGTCCTCAAAATAGGCAGAATGAAAGTAACCAGCTAAAAAATCATGGGTGTTCTTCTGAAGGGAGAAACATAGGGAGGGGGGTAAACGATTCATTTCTTCCCCTCTGTAGGTTAGCGTGCTTTGTGTTTAAATGCCTCCCATAAGGGGACACAGGGCGCATAGAGCAGTGTGTGACTATGCACATCCTATTATCCCAAAGGCTTGCTGTGGAATATATGTATACAATATGTGCTTTGCTCAAATTTGCAGGGGGTCATTCTTTGAATCTGGAAATTATGGCATTCCTGAATTTTAAAGCTGCAAAAAACTTAACTGCTCTAATCCAATTCCTTTCTGCAGAGGAGGACAACCAGTGTCTTAAATCTTTTTTAAATAGCCTACTATCACTCAGTAATTACCAGTCGTGGAAAGCTTTCATGGAGATCTGGATTATGACCAGGGAGTGCCCAGGGTCTTAAAGCAAAATTGTTCTTTCTAGGAATAGTATAAGGAAGAATTTATAAGTGTGACCCTGAAAAAGATAATTGTGTTTACCTTCTCCTGAAGAATCTGGGCTCCGAATTCAGAGTTCCCCTGAACACAGTGCTCACAGAGGAAATTTTCAAAACCTGTCCTAGTTTTAGGGGCTGCAGGCTGGGGATGGGGATGTTGGTTAAGATGGGGCCAATAGATGGTAATGCAATCCCGTATTTTTCAACCTCAGTGTTCCCACGAGAAACAGAAATGAGTTAACATCCGAGGGCTGCTTTTTGGTCTCCGAGACACACACGGTCCAGGCTTTACATCCTGTCATTTGTCACCACCCTTGGAGATCTGGGTAAAGAAGCCTGTGCTTAATGACTGCTGGTGCAGGCGAAGGCTGTGGGGGAATCACTCTGGCTGTCCTAGCTGACTCAGGCCATGTGATAAACATATCACAGACTTAGATACGCCCTGTGACACAGGACCTCACTCCTCTGCTCAGCTGCGACCCTCTCCATGATTATTTCAGCGTGTGGCCCTCCTCAGTGACAAGTTACTAGGCCTGCTTCAGCTAAGCAGGTGTATGCATTTTTCAAGGATAGGAGGCCAATGCTGGCATGCTTTCTTCTAGAATTTGCAGCAACTGAAACTCTCTGGAGGAAGCTGCACTACCTTTTCTATTCTGCAATGAAAGTAATAATTGCTATTTTCTCTTCAGCTGCTACATAATAACGTAGTCCCAAATGTATAAATTACCAGACGTCTGAAAGTTGGAAGAAAACGATGCACATTGAGAAAGGGAAGAAAACAGGCTTACCTGTCCATCACAGTAGAAGCCTAGAGCTTTCTTCAAACCAGAAATGTTTCAAAGCACACACATCATCCGAAGTGAGGGATTTTACTTACTTGCAATACTTACCTGTTATTCTCTCATCACCAAAGACAAATGCTCTGTCAATTTAAGAGTATTTTGCTTTATTTACTCAGGAACTATTTTCTGCAAGCCTAGCTCTTCCGTGAACAAGAACCTGTTGGAGTGGCATAGTGGAATAGTTTTTAACACTATTTTTGTTGCATTATTTTTGTGGCCCATCCAAAGTTATAATTCTAAATCACATCATTTTTATCCCTTACCTAATTTGTTTTGGTTTTGTTGCTGATAATTCTGGAGCAGCCCTATTTCTTGCATCCTATATACAAATATTTCTGTAGGCCTTGATTGAATCTAATAATATGGGATTATCATTTGCAGGACTCTGCACATGAATAAGAAATAGAACACTGAGGGCAGACTAGCATGTGCCCTTAGAACGGCTATCAGCTCAGTCTTTTTTCTACATACATTAGTAACAATAGTATAAATCCAATTTTATAATAGATACTTAGTAAATGCCAAATTTAAGTGTCTCAAGGAAAGAAATTGCAGAGAAACTACAAGAACAATCTGACCATATGAAATCACACATTTAATGGCTTCTCAGGCTTTAGGCTAAGATCAAGCGTAAAACACATAGGAAAAAATAAGCTAAATGCGGAAAACAACTTCACATAATATTTATTGATACTCTACTGTCAGAGGGCTTTAAGGGTTACATATGCAAGTCAAACACTTCCCAGATAAACAAATGTCAGTCAGTGAGTGGACACAGGCAAACATCATTATTTTCTCCTTTTCTCTCATGTCCTCACATTTCTGGAAGCAGACTTAGTTATTTATTATACCATGATATTGAGAGCAAAAACGTAAGGATCTTCCAAATCACATGACATTAGGGTAGATTATTATTTATTTTATTTTTTAGTGATAGTAAAAAAGCTATCTAAGACAACAAAGCAATACATTTTGCCCATACTATGGAATCACAATGGCTATGGTTTTTCAAGAACTACTTATTCAGTGCCTTCTTCATGCGGGCTAATATGACAAAGTGTATAAGTCCTGAAGTTCAACTGCCTGGGTTCCAATTTCTGCTTTCTCACATTTCCTAGCTCTGCTTATGTTGGGCAAGTTCCTTAACCTCTCTGAGCCTCTGGGGCAATGCCGATAATATTAGAAGCTTCTTTACCAAGTTCTTGTGAGAATTAAATGCATTAGCACAGGTAGTGCATGGTTCTTGGCACTTACTAAGTACTTCACAGGTGTTAGAATAATTAATCCTTATTAATACTTGATATAAACATGTATAAAACTGTTAATTTTATCAACAACCTTCTGTAGTTTTTAGTACACCCATTTTACAAATAAACTAAATGAGGTGCAGACGGGTAACCCAAGTTCAGCACTAACTAACCCAGTTCCACTTGACTCTACAAACTAGTACTTCTCACTCTGCCTCCCAATCAGGTATAGAAAAGAATAGTAAAAATAAAAATAAAAAACTGAATGTTTGATCTTGCTTGGGAAACTGATCCTTTTGGGATAATACAGTAAAGGAGTAGATTATATAGATAAAATTGGAAGCTTAATCTTGGTCACCTTCTCTAGGGTTCTGATGAGCCGCTGATGGTAAACCATTAGAAAAACAGGTAGAGACCACACGGGATGGAAAACAGAAAACGAAAGAACTTAAGATTGTCACACACAAAAAGGAGCACAGAAAGTGGCTGTAGGTGTGTGCCTTCCTTCATTCAACAGGTATTTTTCAAACGCCTGCTCTGTGCCAAGAACGTTGACCAACAGAGCCAATGTCCTCTGAGAGCATACAGAAAATAGCTGCACACCTGACTTTAGTATACAACATGTTAAGTGCTGTATGGATGGCAGACTACCATGGGATTAACAAGAGAGCTCCTTGAACCAAGAGGGAGAGGTAGAAATCCCTTCAAGGGCCTCGCCTATTGTAGTCACCCAGCCCTGCTCTATCTCAGCTAGACGTGGAGGGAGACCTGACTTCCTGCCATCTGGGCTGCTTCTGGGGACTTGAACCCACTGGTAATGGGTCTGCCTGAGAGGCTTCCTGTCTCCTTCCTCACCCAGCCCTGCATTCATGAAGACCCCTTCATGTCTCAGATCATTTTCTTCCCCTTTTCAAGGGAGCAGCCCCCATGGCTCAGCCTTTTTCCCATAACCACGGGTGGGCTCAGGCCGGCTCCAGCCACTGGCCAGCTGGTCCGCTCTGACTGGGCAGCATCCATGCTGTAGCCACGTGCCCATCCCTGGCTCTCACCTGCCACTATCCCGCACACACCCCAGTTATTTGTCAAGTTACCTTGTTATCCATGGAAATGGGATATAAATACTCAGAAATTAGACATGAAGGAAATAAGATTTTTTTAAAAAACACTTTGGTTCTCAAAATCCTGTAGGCAAAGAGACCCCAAATTGGGATGTGACATGTGGAAAAGAAGAGGACTGTGAGAAATGCAGTAACAGTAGGTCAAAGTCAACTTCATGGAACCAGATGTGTTTCCATGTTACCTGCCTAGCTAGACCCTCAGTCTCTCAAAAACAGCTTTTCATTACACACACACACACACACACACACACACACACCCCTTTATCAGTTTAGTAAATGTATATTGAATGCAACTAAGTGCCAGACACTAGGCTAGGTACCAGTGTTTATTTAGACGGTTTTAAAATTTTATTGGAGTGACATTGGTTCACAAAACCATACTGGATTTCAAGTGTACAATTCAATAAAACAGCATCTGCACACTGCATTCTGTTATCATTTGATGGTGACTTCCTTTTAATGCTCTAACTTTTAGAAACCTAGGGCTTGTTGTATGAATCTGGGAACTATCTTCTATATTGATAGTTAAAGCTCTTTTCAGGTAGGATAGCTATAAATTGTCATTTGCCCAAGCTTGCACCTGCTGTCCTGGTGTAGTAATTGGTAGTGAGCCCTTTCAGTCTGAAAGGGGTCCTGATTTGGATGGCAAATTGTGGGTTCAAGCTTTGTATTTTTTACTGTCTCTGTTGCTCTGATGAGCTTTATTTCAAGTATTCAACTACCCGTCTTATTTCATTCCTAAGGAGCAAATTTATTTCTGGTTCCTTTCCCATTCTGCTGATCTTACTAAAATAAGACTTGTTTTATTACTCCAAGCTAAAGAT